TTTATTGATATAAACATAAGGTCAATTTTGTTATATGTATATGTATTTCTGATCTTTACTAAGGTATTCTATTTGTATAGCTCATTCAAAATGTAATGTATAATTAAGAAATATAGATTAATAGGTAATCATCTATAATAGTCAAAATTGTAGTCATTTTAGTTAGATATTCTAGATATAGAGAATATTTCAGGTAGACAGGTATTCTGCAAATCTTTCAGAGATCTTCAGAATATGGCATTTAAAATGTTTTGAATACTTAGGACTTTTCCTGACAGTGAGACATATCTGCTCCTGGCAGCATCAATCTACTTCAAAAGAAAGATGGCAATTTAAAAGGCTCCTTATGGAGATTGTTAGATAAAATGAACATACAGGATCCCCAAAGAATTGACTGCTGAACTTGCTGAAATGTGAGATGATCCTTCAGGTTTCCTGCTTCATGTAAGTGTCTAGGAGAAATTCTGCAGGATAAAGAAGAAAGTGACTGACAAACTGCCAACATAGTTAGAACTGTCTTTGAAATTGTCTGTTTAATAGAAAATCTGATGGATACTCTGGGCCTGTAGGCTGAATATGGATGCCCCAGTAGTAAAAAGAACTTTGGGTGACTGTCCAGACAGTGAGAAGTCTCTGTCAATTTTAGAGTTTTGCAAGTTGCTTACAATGCACCTCCTGTTAACTTTGGTAATATTATATCCTTCTGGAGTCTTTGATGGGATTGAACAATAGATAGAAAGTAGATATAAATATTTCAATTGTAGTTTTTGCTTGATACCTGTTTTGTTATATGTAATTTTACTATGTTAAAAGAAAAGCCTTCCTTTCTATTTAAACAGAAAAGGGGAGGTAATCTGGGAGTCTCTTCTGTATGATGTGATTGCCATTAACGAATAAAGAAACTGCCTTGGCCTGTTGATAGGTCAGAACTTAGGTAGGTGGGGAAAACAGAATAAAATGCTGGAAGGAAGAAGACAGAGTCAGAGGGACACCATGGATTCACTACCAGCATAGACAGAGGCACTGACACTTTGCTGGTAAGCCACTGTCACGTGGCAATGCACAAATTAATGGAGATGGGTTAATTAATATGTAAGAGTTAGCCAATAAAAAGCTAGAGCTAATGGGCATAGCAATGATTTAATTAACACAGTTTCTGTGTGGTTATTTCGAGTCACAGTGCTCGATACAAAAAAGCATCTCCTCCTACATCCCATTGGCAGTGCAGGTTCTAAAGAGCAAACTAAATACATGATTAGAGAGATGGTATAAGAACATCAATTCCTAGTTTACATTTGCTTAATCAATAATAAATAATAATAAAAAATACTTCTTTGCAGCTACTACTAGATTATAAAATGAGCAAAAAATGAATAAAAAAGAAATCAAAGATAAAGCAGAAAAAAATCAATCAACAAAGGTTATTGATCTGTAAGAACAGAGGATTATGGAAGGATAAAATGTTTTAGATATCAATATACAGCTTGCCTTCTCATTATTCATGATTGTTTGGGAAGAGGAAGAGTGATAGGTCTTATGTAGTAAATGAAATGAATCACACAGGTCTGGTGTTCTCTCTGGATTTTGTTAAATATTTAAAAATCAACACTTACCATATAAATGACCTGTGGTTCTATGCTGAACTGGATAGTTTTGGAATATTAGAATTTAGAAATTTTATGGATGTGGTTTGATTATCGGTTCTCAAAACAATGGAAGCACAAGATTTGGTTAAAGATTCTGTATCTGCCACAGATGAAGCATATGTCCAACTTTCATGCTGTTTGGAATTGAATTGCTCTAAATATAAAGCTGATTTCCATGGCATGAACTTTGTAATACTATGATCAGTGTGTAGCTATTAATTCTCAGTTTATGAGTCCTTTGAAAGAATAATACAAGTCGCACGTAATAAATACCCTGAAAACATTTCTAAAGGCATTAGCATAAACAGATTGATGAGAATGTCATAGGACCAAATTTTCTCAAAATGGCATCCACTCAGAGGCTTTAATTTCTACAAAGATGAGTACTATCATGAAACTACCTGAATTTGTCTCATATACATTCATCACATAGACTTCAGACTTCACATGCAGTGTCTCTGAGAAGAGTGTTGAAGATCTCAGTTAATGTGTAAGGAAACACCTTCAAAAAGAAGGAATCAGAAATGCACAAGAATCTATCTTTTTCCACAGAAATAACAGTACTTGGGAATACGCGAACACCTATTTTATAAACTTATATGAAAGGTATTTCACAATTACACTGCCAAGGCATACAGCTAGGGGAAAAAACTATTTTCCTCTTTTTGTGACCAATATTCCACTTTATTTTGGCCAGTTTCATTCATTCCACGTGTTTTTGGAGAAGAAAGTAGAATGAAGACTAGGATGGAGTCTTGGTGGCAGTTTGCCCCTTCTCACTTGCAGTAGTGTACTGGCCTGTGGAAAAAGAGATATTCAACAATATTCTGAATATGCAATAACTTCCTTTGTATGTTGTATGAAGTATCACCATGAATATTTCATGAGGGCTAGATGATGAAATCCAGAACAATGGTATGAATTTTCTGCCCTGGTTTCACAACCTGCACACCCATAAGCAACCCCAAATTCTTTAAAATAATCAATGCTTTTTTGCTACTTTTAATTTGTTCAAAAGGGTTCTGTTTTAATCACAATTATCCTCCTATTTAACAAAACTGGATGTTGACTGAAGAAAGGACTCTCTACAGTGTTCCATTATATATATATAGATAGATAGATAGATAGATAGATAGATAGATAGATAGATATAGATATAGATATAGATATAGATATAGATATAGATATAGATATAGATATCCACTTCACAGTTTCTGTAGCACTGTAGCAGGAGATGACTTAGTAAATAAAACCCCATTCTATTTCAGTTATTATCATTCTAAGTGGGCCCAAGTAAATACCATAGATTACAATCAACTGATGGACATTCATCAATGTGTAGGTCCTAAAGCATGTGCTAGAGCAACTACTACTTGTGACACACCTAGCTGTGGAGAATTTTCACATAGATATACAGTTACTCTCTTGAATGATCTTCATGTGGTCCCATTATCCCAAAACTGCATCAAGTATGGAAGTAAGACACTGGTCCATTGTGAACATCAGATGTGTTCCTATTTCTCCATACATCATTTACCTACATGTATAATCACTGTCCTTTAATTTCAAAGTCCACTTCTTCACTCTAGTTTTGATCAAAAAATAATTATGGACTGTGAATTATATGCTTGCACTCTGAAAAGTATGATTGTCACTTCCCTTGTCACTTACTTGATTGAAAGCCCTGGTGTGTGATAGTTAGCAAGACATTAGAGAGGAAATAGAGCAGTTACATATTAGCACATCTTTGCCATTATTTTAAAAAGAAATGTATTGTTTCTTTGTATTTAATTGTTTATTTTCTGACACGTATTCCCCATGTACCTCTTATATTTGCTTTCAGTAATTTTGCTAATTATAACTCTTTATTTTATCAACATGGGGACTACAGACATTTTATTTTTTCGTATTGTTAATAGTTGTTATCAAACAGAAATTTACTCCACTGGGACACTCTAACTGCTCAAGGGATTCATGTATCTTAATGCTTGGGGGAAAGGAATTGGTGTTTGGGATTCACAAGATGTATTATCAAATTCCTGTTGTGTGTTATTAAAATTTTCAATGACACTTTTTCTGTATGGTAATAAAAATATTCAAAAATTATTTTTATTTGAAAATACATAAAGGCATCTAGTAGTACCAATATCTAAGTTGGAAATAGATTTATTTTACTCTGAGTGTATCATTTAGAATGAAGTATGATTGATGTTCATTGGTCAGATTATATGAAATGACTAGGAAGTGACAGAAGTTACTGCTCTTTCCAAAAATAAAACAAATTGGTATTATTCACTACCAACTTGTTTATTACCCACTTTTATTACAGAAAGCCTCATAAACATTTTCCTCACATTTTATGGTTTATCGTCTTATATTTTACAAAGAGGTTAAACTGGCATATACAAATTAATGTAGCATATTATTGATGTGATAATAAAACTGGAAAGGTAATCAAAGCAGTTTTGTAGTATAAAAAATATATTGGTCAGATATCTCCAGTTCGAATATATGACATTCTCTGTAAACATAAAGTAGGTGAAGAGTATTTAACAGGTATTAATTACATGGCCATAATCTCTGCAATAAAAACCTGGAGCTGGTGTATCTTTGTGCTTATGAGATCAGTCTAATTTGTAGCAAATGTTTGTTCAAAACCTTGGAATCCATTCTCTATTTATTACCCATATTAACATTAATACTGTCCATGTATATGAGTGAAAACATACATACAGCTTTACCAATTCATCGCTGGCATTTAAATTTATTAAATATAAATCTTAAGAAAAGATTTTACACCTCCATTAGATAAATCAGAAATAAAGGAATAACACAATGATCAAGGGCATATGTTAACTATAATGCCAACTGATTATAAAGAATTGAAAGCATAAGAGCCAAACATTGCCCATACTATTGTACACTGAACAGGCATTATTTGACACTTTTATCAAATTCAGTTAATTTCATAAGAAAATATGATAAACTCAGGTTCACATGTCACTTGAATTTTTCACATTGATCGATGATTTCAAGATGAATACATGAATAGATTTATTGTTTGATTAAAGCCTCTGTCTTTGTCTTTATTTTTAGAGTAAGCACTCAAAAATCAAAAATTGAAAATACATTCTTTGAAAGGTGCTGATGTCTTACTTTAGTTATGGAATATTCATTCTGATGAACTTTTAAAGCTTACCACAAGCTTCCATCTACTTACATTATTCCAATCCTACAGCATAGGTCATTTGTATCAGTATTGGCAATGGTTGGGAATACTGTACAGCTAAAAATAGTATACCTATTGACTACTCAGCATCATATGTAGATCTTTGTTCATTATAATCACGATACCCTTTTTCAGAACAACAAAACACATCCAGTTTGCTTTGGCCTTAGCTTTTTCCATGGATGAAGTCAACAGGAATCTTGATCTTTTACCAAATTCATCATTCATAATTCAATGCCTAGGTGGTGGTTGTACAAGTGGAACAAAATTCTATAGTCACTCGCAGTTTTCTGAAGAATTAAATGATATTCCCAATTATATCTGCTACGACCAGACTATGTGTATAGTGGTGCTTACAGGACCAAACTTGGCAACATCTGTAGTGGTTGGGACCATCCTCAACCTCTTGATGCCTCAACAGGTGAGATTTTGTGTTTTGACTTTGCAAGAAATTCTGACTCTGATGTTATAAGTCCTAGATGCTAAGAAGATTGTGACAAGGATACTACCATCAAATCTGTGTTAATCAGTATAGTTCAAAGTTATTATTCAGTCTTGATGGGACTTCATTTCCTTTTTTGAAACTGAAATGAGGGAAGAAGTAACAGATATTTTAAGGAACTCCTGGCTGAAAGTGTGTTTACAAGTTCTTATGAGTGTGTGCTACCTCATGCTGCTCCCTGTGTTGTAGATCCTTCAGATTACCTATGGACCTTTCCATCCCATCCTGAGCAATCGTGAACAATTTCCCTCTCTGTATCAGATGGCTGCCAAGGACACATCTTTAGCCCTGGCCATGATCTCTTTGATATTTTACTTCAACTGGAACTGGATTGGACTGGCTATCTCAGACAATGATCAGGGTACTCAATTTCTCACACGTTTGAGAAAAGAGATGGAAAAACTTACAGTCTGCTTTGCCTTTGTGAGTATGATCCCAGTCAAGATGGATTTATTCTTGTTAAGAGCTGAAGTGTATTATAACCAAATAGTGACATCATCCACAAATGTAGTTATCATTTATGGTGACCCAGACAGTGCTCTAGCTGTGGGCTTTAGAAAGTGGGAATCTCTAGGTTTACAGAGAATATGGGTCACCACTTCACAGTGGGATGGCACTACAAGAAAGAATGACTTTCCATTTAATATATTCAATGGAAAAATTACTTTTGCATACCACCATGCTGAGATATCTAGTTTTAAAACTTTTGTCCAGACATTGAACCCTCTCAAATACACAGACGAATTCCTGGCAAGGCTGGAGTGGATGAACTTGAAATGCAATGTCTCAGCTTCTATGTGTAATACCCTGAAGAATTGCTTATCCAATGCCTCATTGCAATGGTTAAAGGTACAGACTTTTGACATGGCCTTTAGTGAGGAGAGTTATGACATATATAATGCAGTGTATGCTGTGGCCCATGCCCTCCATGAAATGCTTCTTCAGCATGTATACAATCAACCAATGGATAATGGCAAAGGACGTTATGCTTACTGCTTGAAGGTAGTGTTTCTTCTTTTGGATGAAATTTGATGTCATCAATTTAAAAGTCTTTAAGTGTCTTGAAATGTCCCAATTTACTGGATTAGGAAATATTTCATAAAACAGAAATATTTTTGGAATTTTTTTCCTGTGGTGATGTAAATATGGGTGCTGGTATAAATCTTAATGCAAAAGCCATGGTGTGGAAGGCACAATTTGTTAAGGAAGTACACTGATTTTGTTTCAGACTACCTTACTATCACCACACCTCTTCGAAAAACTTTAAGCCTACGTCCTTCCTCCTCAATCCTCTTCTTTATGAAAAGATGAATCCTTGTAAATTTATTGTCTAATATGTGATAATCAATTTATGAGATGATTTTTCACATTCGTTCGAAACTGATTCTGCTCACACTGTAGGCTATGGGGACCTCATTCACATTCTGAGTGAAAGTAATTACACAGTAAACAATGCCATTCTTCAGTTAAGGACATACATTTGTATTCATATGTATGAATATATGGTTCTTCTTGTGTGTGCTTGTATGTTCCTGTGTTTGTAGGTTTCGCTGTTTGTTTCTGTGTTAATATATATATTCTAAATATACATATTATATATAATGTATTTAAATATAATAATATAATATAAATACATATATATAAAGGTTCTGTATATCTGCATATCTATCAGTATGTGGAACTCAACATAAATTTGTCTGTGTCAATGTCTTTCTGTATAGGAGTTTGTTTCTGTAAATAACTTTCTATGTATTTTCTTCAGTGCATGTGTTCATATCTGTTGATCTCATAATGCTTGAACATATGTATATCATTTTTTCTGTGTGTCTGTCTGTCTGCCTCTCTCAATCAGTATATGAGCATAAATCCATCAATATCAATATCTCTCTGTGTAGGTGTTTTGTTTGTGTTTCCCTGTGTGTATTTGTAATTTAATATGTGATCCATTTTTGGCCCTGTTTATGTGTTTCTCAGCTTTCTGGTTTTTTTGTGTGTCTGTTTTGGTGCATATGTTACACTGTAGCTTTGTTTTAATGTGTGAGTGTTGGCATTTGTGTTTATGTCTGTATAAGATGTATGTAGATGCATTATGTATGTCTATATGGAAGTGCATCTCTGACTCTCTCTCTCTGTCTTTCTCTCTCATGCTCTTTGCGTGTGTGTGTGTGTGTGCGTGTGTGGTGTGTCTTTCAGCTGCACTCCTTTCTGAGGAAAATACGCTTCACTAATCCAGTTGGAGACAGAGTGATTATGAACCAGAAAGAAAAACTTCAGGAAGAATATGGCATTTTTCAGATTTGGAATTTACCACATGGCCTTGGACTTAAGGTGAAAATAGGAGAGTTTAGCTCATATTTTCCATATGGGCAACAGCTGCATATATATGAAGACATGATAGAGCGTGCAACAGGAAGTAGACAGGTGGGTCTGACTTAACTGCATTCCTTTGCATTACACAGCAGTAACAAGAACAATGGGATTGATTTATGCTGTCTTGTAACCAACTACAAATAAATAGTCCCATTACAAAGAAATTCCTGGCTTCCTATATTATGTTTCTTTTCTTTTTTTTTCTTTATTTATTTTTTATTAAAAATTTCTGCCGCCTCCCCGCCTTCTATTTCCCCCCTTCCCACAATCCCCTCCTACTCCCTCTTTAGTCCAAAGAGCAGTCAGGGTTCCCTGCCCTGTGGGAAGTCCAAAGTCCACCCCCCTCCATCCAGGGCTAGGAAGGTGAGCATCCAAACAGATGAGGCTCCCACTAAACAAGAAAATACAGTAGGATCAAAATCCAGGGCCATTCTCAATCAGCCATCATTGACCGGCACGTTCAGAGAGTTGGTTTGATCCCATGTTTTTTAGTCCCAGTCCAGCTGGCCTTGGAGAGCTCCCGTTATATCAGCCCCACCGACTGAGTGGGTGGGTGCACCCTCACGGTAATGATTTCCTTGCTCATGTTTTCTCTCCTTCTGCTCCTCATTTGGACATTCCTCAGTCCGGTGCTCCAATGTGAGTCTCTGTCTCTATCTCCATCCATCGCCACACAAATGTTCTATGGTGATATGCAAGATATTCATCAGTGTGGGTATAGGATCAGGCCATTTCAGGCTCCCTCTCCTCAGCTGCCCAAGGAACTAGCTGGGGACATCTCCATGGAAACCTGGGAACTCCTCTAGAGTCACATCTCTTGCCAACCCTAAAATGGTTCCTTTAATTAAGATATATACTTCCCTGCACCCATATTCACCCTTCCTTTATCCCAAACATCCCATTCTCCAAAGCTCTCCCCATCCTTCCCTTCTAACTTTTCTCTCCCCATCTCCTCTTTTCCCCATTGTACCCCCAACCCCAAGTTCCCAATTTTTGACCAGCAATCTTGTCTGCTTCCAATATCCAGCAGGATAACTATATATTTTTCTTTGGGTTCACCTTCTTATTTAGCTTCTCTAGGATCACAAATTATAGGCTCAATGTCCTTTATTTATGGGGAGACACAATTATGAGTGAGTACTTCCCAGGTTCATGTTTTTGGGTCTGGGTTATCTCACTCAGGATAGTGTTTTCTATTTCCATCCATTTGCATGCAAAATTAAAGATATAGTTTTTAACACTTAGTAGTACTCTAATATGTATATATTCCACACTTTATTATTCATTCTTCCATTGAAGGGCATCTAGGTTGTTTACAGGTTCAGGCTATTACAAATAATGCTGCTATGAACATAGTTGAACAAATACTTTTGTAATATGATAGGGCATCTCTTGGGTATATCCCCAAGAGTTGTATTGCTGGACCCTGGGGTAGGTTGATCCTGAATTTCCTAAGAAACCACCACATTGCTTTCCAAAGTGATTGCATAAGTTTGCATTCCCACCATCAATGGATGAGGGTACCCCTTCCTCCACAGCCTCTCCAGCAAAGGCTATCATTGGTGTTTTTGATTTTAGCCATTCTGACAGGTGTAAGATGGTATCTCAAAATTGTTTTGACTTTTATTTCCCTGATCGCTAAGGAGGTTGAGCATGAGCTTAAGTGTCTTTTGGCCTTTTGAACTTCTTCTGTTGAGAATTCTCTGTTCAGTTCAGTGCCCCATTTTTAATTGGGTTTATTAGCATTTTAAAGTCTAGTTTCTTGAGTTCTTTATATATTTTGAAGATCAGACTTTTATCTGTTGCGGGGTTGGAGAAGATCTCCCAATCAGTAGGTTGCTTTTTTGTCTTAGTAATAGTGTCCTTTTCTTTACGGAAGCTTTTCAGTTTCAGGGGGTCCCATTGATTCAACTTTGCCCTTAATGTCTGTGCTGCTGGGGTTATATGTAGAAAGTGTAGAAAGGGGTCTCCTGTGCCCATATGTTATAGAGTACTTCCCACTTTCTCTTCTATCAGGTTCAGTGTGTTCAGACTGATAATGAAGTCTTTGATCCATTTGGACTTGAGTTTTTGGCATGGTGATAGATATGGATCTATTTTCATTCTTCTACAGGTTGACATTCAGTTGTGCCAGCACCATTTGTTGAAGATACTTCTTTCTTCCAGTGTATACTTTTAGCTGCTTTATCGAAAATCATGTATTCATAGGTTTGTGGGTTAAAATCCAATTCTTCTATTCGATTCCATTGGTCGACTTCTCTGTTTTTATGCCAATACCAATCTGTTTCAGTACTGTAGCTCTGTAATAGAGTTTGAAGTCAGGGATGGTAATGCCTCCAGAAGTTTCTTTATTGTATAAGATTGTTTTGGTCATTCTGGGTTTTTTTTTTCATATAAAGTTGAGTATTGTTCCCTCAAGGTCTGTGAAGAATTTTGATAGGATTTTAATGGGGATTGCATTGAATCTATAGTTTGCTTTTGGGAGAATTGCCATTTTTACTATGTTGATCCTCCAAATCCAAGAGCAAAAGAGATCCTTCCACTTTCTGGTATACTCTTAAATTTCTTTCTTCAAAGACTTATTAAAGTTTTTGTCAAATAGATCTTTCACTTCCTTGGTTAGAGTTACCCCAAGATACTTTAGCCACAAAGATGCTTTTTGTGGCTTTCCTGAAAGGTGATGCTTCTCTGATTTCCCTCTCCTTTATCCTTTCTGTATAGGAGGGCAACTGATATTTTTGGAGTTGATCTTGTATCCTGCCACATTACTAAAGGTGTTTATCAGCTGTAGGAGTTCTTTGGTAGAGTTTTTGGGGTTGCTTATGTATACTATCATATCATCTGCAAATAACAAAAGTTTAACTTCTTCCTTTCCAATTGGAATCCCCTTGATCCACTTATGCTTTCTTATTGCTATTGCTAGAACTTCAACACTATATTGAAGAGGTATGGAGAGAGTGAACATCCTTGTCGTGTTCCTGATTTCAGTGGGATGGCTTTGTGTTTCTCTCCGGTTAATTTGACGTTAGCTGCCGGATTACTCTAAATAGATTTTATTATATTTAGGTATGACACTTGATTCCCTACTCTCCCCAAGACCTTTATCATAAAGGGATGTTGAATTTTTTCAAATGCTTTTTCAGCATCTAATGAAATGATCAAAGGGTTTTTTTTTCTTCAGTTTATTTATATGATGGATTACATTGATAGATTTGTGTATGTTGAAGGAGCCCTGCATCTCTGGGATGAAGCCTACTTGATCATAATGGATAATTTTTCTAATGTGTTCTTGGATTCGGTTTGCCAGTATTTTATTGAGAATTTTTGCATCTATGTTCATGAGTGAGAATGGCCTGTAATTCTCTTTCCTGGTTTAGTCTTTGTGTGATTTGGTATCAGGGTAATTGTAGCTTCATAAAAGGAATTTGGAAATGACTCTTCTGTTTCTATATTGTGAAATACAAGAAGGAGTATAGGTAATAGGTCTTCTTGGAAGTTCTATTAGAATTCGTCATTGAAACCATTTGGTCCTGGACTTTTCTTGGTAGGGAGATTTTTGATAACAGCTTCTAAATTTTTGCCACTAACATGTCTATTTAGATTGTTCACCTGGTCTTGGTTTGACTTTGATATATAGTATTTATCTTAAAAAATGTCCATTTCTTTAAAATTTTCAAATTTGTGCCATACAGGCTTTTGCAGTAAGATCTAAAGATTCTCTGAATTTCTTCTGTTTCTGTGGTTATGTCCCCCTTTTCATTTTTGATCTTATTAATTTGCGTGTTCTCACTGTGTCGTTTGTGTAGTTTAGATAGGGGTTCATCAATCATGTTGATTTTCATCAAGAACCAGCTTTTTGTTTCATTGATTCTTTGGATTGTTTTCTGTGTTTCTATTTTGTTGATTTCAGCCCTCAGTTTGATTATTTCCAGTCTTCTACTCCTCCTGGGTGGGTCTGCTTCTTTTTTTTTTCTAGAGCTTTCAGGTGGGCTGTTAAGTCTCAAATGTGTGCTTTCTTCATTTTCTTTACGTGAGCACTTAGTGCTATGAACTTTCCTCTTAGGACTGCTTTCATAGTGTCCCATAGGTTTGAGTATATTGTGTCTTTATTTTCATGAAATTCAACGAAGACTTTAATTTCTGTCTTTATTTCTTCCTTGATCCAAGTGTGGTTCAGTAGTTCACTCTTCAGTTTCAATGAATTTGTAGTCTCTGGGGGTAGCATTGGTTTTGAATTCTAACTTTGGTCCATGATGATCCGATAAGACACAGGTGGTTACTAGTATTTTTTGTAACTGTGGAAGTTTGCTTTTTTACTGAGTATGTGGTCAGTTTTCGAGAAGGTTCCATGAGCTGCAGAGAAGAAGGTATATTCTTTCCTCTTTTGGTGGAATGTTCTATAGATTTCTGTTAAGTCCCTTTGCTTCATTACCTCCATTAATTCTCTTTCTTCTGTATTAGGTGTCTGTCTGATTGACCTGTCCATTGGTTAGAGAGGAGTGTTGAGGTCTCCTACTATTAGTGTGTGTGGTTTGATGTCTGCCTTGAGTTCTAGTAATGTTTCTTTTAAATAAGTGATTGCTTTTACATTAGGGGCATAAATATTCAGGATTGAGACTTCAACCTGATGAATTGTTCTTTTTATGGGTATAAAATGTCCATCTCCATCTCTTTTGATTGATTTTAGTTTGAAGTCAATTTTGTTAGAAATTAGTATGGCCACACCTGCTTGTTTCTTAAGTTCATTTTCTTGTAAAACCTTTTCCCAACCCCTTACTCTGAGTAGATGTCCGTCTTTGTGGTTGACATGTATTTCTTGTAAACAGCAAAATGTTGGATCCTGTTTTCATATCCAATTTCTTAGCCTGTATCTTTATATAGGTGAATTGAGTCCATTGATATTAAGTGATAATAATGACCAGTGGTTGTTGACTCTGGTTATTGTTATTATTATTATTATTTTTGGTAATACAGTTTGTGTGTTTCCCTTCTTTGAGTTATGCTGGTGAAGGGTTGCTAGATATCTGAGTTAATGTAGGCAGTGTTGGTAA